CCCCCATTTCTGAAGAAGGGTCTAGGCCCGAAACATCAGCCTTCCTGCTCCTCTGATGCTGCTTGGCCTGCTGTGTTCATCCAGCTCTACACCTTGTTATCTCAGATTCTCCAGCATCTGCAGTTCCTACTATCTCCTTAACAATAATGCAGATTGTTTAATTAACACTGAGTGCCTAAAGTATTGACAGGAGGAGGGGAGGTGCAGTATTATTTAGAGAAGACATTGTGTTAGAAAGAGTTTGTCCTTGAGGGGACTGGGACAGAATCCATTTGGTTAATGCTGCAAAGCAAAAAAGACACTATTATCGATCTTCTGTTGTATTCAACAAGGTTCTAAATGGTGAGAAAAATTAGGCAGGGAGAACACAAACAGGTGCAGAAATTATAAAGTGGGGTATTAAAATAATATTGAAGTAAAGGACTAGGAAGCGAAGATATTTATGAAATGTCTTCGGGAGCAAATTCTTTGATCGATATGGTCCAAACCAACTGGATCTAAGGCCAGGGAATGGTATGGACCAACAAATGGAAGTTCTTGTGAACACTTTGGCAATAATGATCTTCACATAATGAAGTTTATATTAATAATGGAGAACAGCAAGAGACAACTTAAAGCAGAACCTCCGAATTGGAGGACCTACTTCAGTAGGATGAATGGACCTAACTAGGCTACAGTGGAACCAAAAACTATGGTGTAACAATAGAAGACCCTTTAAGGAGATGTTTCAGCTACAGACTAGGGACATTTTGCCAAAAGAGGAAGGTAGGGAACCAAATTTAGTGGTCTTTGGATGACCAGATAATTAATATGAAACAAAAAAATTATGGCAAATATCAAGTGAATTCTTCAGGTGAGACTAGGCCAAACACAAAAAGAGGAAAATAAGATGGTCTTTTTCCCAATGAAATAGAAAGGTATTTAATACTTCAGGAATGCAAAACCCCTTTATAGTTTTGCAAATAAATGAGGCTGGGGGCTTGTAAAGGAGTAGATGGCTGATACACACAGACGCACAACAGGGATTGAATATTCATCGATTGCTTTGTATCACTATTTACAAATCAAGAGGATACTGACAAAATATCAGGAGAGGTCAGAGGTAATGGATGGTGAAAATTCATGCACTGAAATGGTTGGATGTCATCCGTTCTCGATAATGTGTATCCCAAGTTGTTTACGGAAGCAGGGGGTGCAGTTAGCAGAAGGTCTAATATTATCTCAGTCTCCTTTGGAAACAAGGGATAAGCCAAAGTACTGGAATGTAGCAAACGATAATACTCTCACATTCATAGTAACTATAGCTCTGCCAGTTTAACTTGTATGATTGCCCATCACCCTCAAAAGTATCAGAAACAACAGCCGGGAATAAACAAAATAAGCACTTTGAGAGGTCAAGGCTAGTTAACATTAATTTCTGAAACACAAATCATGTTAAAATAAGACAACAGTGCAGAGTTGGAGGAACACAGCAGGCCAGCAGCATCATAGGAACAGGGAAGTTGATGTTTCAGGTTGGGACCCTTCTTCAGAAATGTTAAAATAGCCTAACTGAACTTTTTTTTTTCCTGGCAAAGTAGGGTAATGAATTAACATTATCGAATGAAATCATTTAACAAAGTTCTGTGTAAAAGGTTGGTTAACTAAATTGAAGGTCATGGAATTGTACGGTGTCAGTTTTCAGAACTGACAGATTGGCACACTAAGAGCATGTAGAAGGTTGTGGTTAAGATTTAGATTTGTAGACAGTCAGCACTAGGACACTACTAGGCTTTTGCTCTAAGCAGCCGTTTTGGGAGCAAGAGTAAAATAAAAATTTGTCAGCAAGGCCAAGTTTAGCAGATTGGCAATTGGAGTACTATAAATAGCCTGCCACAGGAGAATGCTTGAGTAATATTATACAAAGAAACATGGTTGTAATTGCTGAAGGCCAACCAGCTCTGCCAGGACATTGCAGCATCTATTTCTCAGGTTGATATCCTATACTCAAATCATCTTCAACTCTTACATAAAGATGTGAGGACACACCTCTGCTGCTACATTCCACTGTAGTTACTTAAGTTGCAAACTATATCCTCTGCTGATTCACTAAATTTCAGCCAAGATCCTGATTCCTTGGCCAAGATCCTCAACTAGCCAGTGGAAACAAAAATGTTTTCTTTTATAATGCTTACACATGGCAGAAATTTTAGAAAATTTCTAACCATGCCAGTTTGTTATTACAGCCTCCAGAAAAAATAAAAATAAATTTCCACAAAGTACTGACGCGATGGTCAAAGAAATAGGTGGCCAAAAAAGCTCACAGGCAACTATTCAGTCTGAACTTACTGGGCAGAAACTTTTGCACACTGCAACAAATTGGGCTCAAATGGCAAACTGTGACTAGAATGACAATGTAACTGCTCACCCAAAGTTAGTGAAAGTTTCAGATATCGGTACACTGATTCAAATTCTGAGTTCCACAAAGCTTTTCAGTCAGAATAAAAGCAAGCAGTGGGGAGCTGAAAAAGATGTCATCAGTAGTAAAGATTTTTTTAACTGAGAACAGATGTCCGACTGAGAAATACTTTCCACTCATTCTTGATGATTCAAGATATGGAACATCCGGTTTTATTGGAATGGTACTTCCTGCAGTTGTGTACTTGCAAATATTAGTAAATCAGTCTGACATTGGATCACCACTTGAACTCAACTTTGCTACCTAGGTCTTAAAACCCAGAAAAGGCCGGATACTTTAAAATTCTCCTCTGCGTTGATTATACAACCGTACACGTGCAAAGGCAAAGCTTTGCGTCAAGGTAAATCCACGACCAAGTAATACTCCATGCTGTCACCAAACCAGGTGGTAATACTGCAAACTGAGTCCCAGTTTGGGTATGGATATTTTGTCAAGAAATGTTATGTTTCCACCTCCCAACCTTAATTTTGCAGACTACAAATCTGTAGTGTTTATTACAGGATCAGTTTAGCATGTTTTAAACAAGAAAAACAGGAGGTTGTTTGAAAGCCATATCATTTTTAAATGGTGCCACCTCAAATTTAGTGGTCTTCAACCATTAAGTGTATAGGACACAAATGCATGAACTACATATGACTCAAAAATCTTTATTTGTACAACATACAGGCAATAGTGCAGTCTTTGAGCATTTACCACCCGAGATCCACCATTTTCTAGTTATTTACTCAAAGCAAGCAAACAGCACTACATCCTTCATCTGACACAGCACTTAAACTGTGGGTGAACGCTGAATCTTTCAAGCATGCTGTTGACTCCGAATTCCCAAGGCACTGGAAAAGAAACAGTCGACATTTATGGTAAACAGAATGCACAGCATTTCAAAATGACTTAGAACAATGGATTTATAACAACTACTAAAACAGCTCCTGGCACCTCAAAACGTTTACCTACTAACTGGGAAGAGACAGCTGGAGAATCCCCTCATGTAGCAACTGCGAATCCATGATAGTAGGGATAGGAGTTTCGTTAGCGAGTGGAACAGACCTAATGTCCTGGTGCTCCCTGGGGGAAAAAAGTTCACTCAATGTTATCATAGCACCATCTGAACGACTGATATATATATTTAAGACCAGCTGGACATGACATTTTGTCACAACAGCACGTGAGTACAGACATGCTAAAGCATTCACAGTCAAGTCTTGCAGCAAGACTAGATGGGGGTGCCAGCAATGGTACAGCCAACACAAAGCCAGTGTTGCTGTTCTGCATGCGATCAGACAGTCATACAGTGCGGAAACAGACCTTTTGGTCCAACCTATCCATGCTGACCATAATCCCAAACTAAAGTAGTCCCACCTGCCTATGATCAGCCCATATTCCTCCAAACACTTCTCACTCTTGTACTTCGCTAAATGCCGTTTAAACATTGTACCTGCTTCCACCACTTTCTCTCTGGCAGTTCATTCTATGCAAGCCACTCTAAAAACATTGCCCCTCATGTCTTTAAACCTTTCTTCTCACTTTAAGAAATGCCCCTAGTCTCGAAATACCCCACCAGAGGGAAAAGACACCTGCCATTCACATTATCTATCCCCCTCATTAATTAATAAACCTCTATACGGTCACCTCTCAACCTCCTATGGTCCAGTGGAGCAAGTCCCAGCATATCCAGCCTCTTATTATTCAAATCTTTCATTCCCAGCAACAGTCCAAAGTGTAAATACTGCACTCCCAATGTTTCTGTAAGTCTGACAGGAGTGGATACACAAGACCCCCCAACACATACAAGTCAAAACTAAACACACTGTTCAGTCCTGCAGCCAATCAAAAACCAAACCACTTTATTGCTGGCCCTCGATGTAAAACAGCCTGCCTTTGTACAAGATCTTTGAACTACAAAGTGTCCCAACAGCCTTCAGAAGGACCACAGAACAGTTCCCAAGTCACAGAGGAACAGATTATAGGAAGAAATTTCAGAACAATACAAGTGTGAATCCTGAGTGTTACAGTTCTTTTAGTCAGGGTGCTGTGGGATAAAAGCCACTGCAGCCTGTGCCAAAGCCCTGTTTATTATATTCCAAGTTTAGATTATCACAGAGAGGATTGGCCCATGCTGTGATTGTACAGACTTGGTTATATCCACCACTATATCAACTCCCAATGCTTGTCTAGTTGTATTTAGAGAGTGACACAGCAACGTTATCCATCTAATATCCAATTCATTGGTCTGAATGAATCTAGCTCATCTGATGCTGCATTGAAACTGCTCCAGGAAATGCACACTCGCTGTAGTATAAAGGTGGTTGGCTTCTTTTGGATCTGCCCAATTTCTAACAAAGGCTTCAGCACTAAAGCTATAAACTTCTAAGGTCAGTACGAAAGTCATTTCTAAAAAGCTTAACTTTTGACAATACTTACTAAAAGGGAAGGGAGACAGACAAATTTCCATCAAGTGCTGACAGAATGTTATGAAACTCAGCTGGCAGATTGGACACTATTCTCAAATAGAAACAGTGCTGACAAACTTACTGATGTCAGCATTCAAACACATTTGACAATTCAACAAGTATTTTGGTCAAGTTACAGACAACTACAGATGCAGAATGATTAATTACAGCTACTTACCTTAGCCCACAGCATCTTGGGAAACAGGGCTGAGATGACCTTTCCAGACATGATTCACCCTACAGATTAGAAACAGACTTATTAGAAATGACAAGTTAGGAGGTAAATACAAATTTGAAATTAAGCAAACACTTGTTTAAAAAAAAAGCTGCAATGTGAAATCCAACTCCAGATCTGTTCTACTTGCAATAATTGTGAAGCCAGTGACAGTTTTTATAGTCAATAACAGAAAAGACAATAATGGCAGCTGTGGTAAAGTGGCCCAGGAATTGTTGGTGGGTCTCATTCATCCAAACACTTGGAACTCCAAGGCAAAACGATAACTACAGTGTAGCAACCTGTGACCCTAACAACTTTTAAAGAAGGAAAATAAACTTGCTGTGCTACAAGGACAGGTTAAGGGAAATGGCAGTGATTGAAGTATTCTACAGAGGGCCAAAATGGCTGCACTTAGTCACACCACCTTCAAAACAGTAACATCTCCCTTACCCCCCCACCCCACCATCACCGACTGCTGCCAACCCCAGCAATGTTCTCCAGCTGCCAACACCCACAGTATTTTGCTCTTGTAAAAATTTTAATAATCTGATCATACTCTTTCACATATTAAGGGAAAACAGCAATGTTTTACACTAAAACAGTTAATGCTCACCACTTGACAACTTGCACCAAAGGCCTGTTTAAAAGAAAAAGCAAGGGACTAAAGCACAGGATTCCAAAGACTCTGAGCAGATTGGCCTCTGGGCAACTAGGAGTGAGGGATAAATACTGGCCTGGCCAGAAACACCCACATCCCATGAGTGAGTTAAAAAGAAAAACAGAACCCAATGATTGTTTTTACACAACCAATCTGAAACTAGGTATTGGGAAATGCTGTAAAGCGGCTGTTGTCCAAAACATTTCCTAACTGATCCAACTGGGTGAAGCATATCCACAGGTCTCAAATAAAAACACCAAGGTTGAGATCAATAGCACTTTTGCTGGAATTAATACTTCAGACAGGAAAGGAAAGCATTTAAAACTTCAGTCACAATCGCACTGCAGCTAAGAGGCACATTTTGGGATTCAGCACTCAGTTCTTATAATTACAAGCCAAGTAGAATGTAAACACGACAATTTGAATATGCAGAAAACATCAAACTTATTTCCAAAACTGACTGACAAACAGCACACAGTGAAACAATGAAATAAGGAAATCAGAACTCACCCGAGCCAATAGTTGGCACCCATGCTTCTTGCCAAATCACGGCTGAACAAAACACTTGACAGACGTTCCGCTGCAAAGAATAAACAGCACAAACACTCAACACTCGGACCACAGAATTGCTATAAGACCCACTGCATTCCTGAATCCTCACTTATTTTTCCAGCAATTACCTCTTAAATCATTAAAACATAAAAACATAAACTAGCCACATTAGCCCTTGTTATGACCCAGCCCCACAACTTTAAGTTGATAAGCAGTTCTCCTCCCTTCCCTCCTACAGTAACATTATGGACAAAGCCTGCTATAAAACAATATTAAACCAATCTGGATTCATGGCGTGAGAATTGAATCAGAGATAGTAGGAACTGCAGATGCTGGAGAATCTGAGACAACAAGGTGCAGGGCTGGATGAACACAGCAGGCCAAGCAGCATCATAGGAGCAGAAAGGCTGACGTTTCGGGGTCTACGGAGTTCCTTCCTGATGACAGCGTTCTGGTAAATCTCTTCATCTCCCTTCCCAAAGCCTTCTAAACTGTGGTGCCCAGAATTACATGCCTCAGTCTCTCTAAATAAGATCTAATCACTGATCTCTAAAGTTTCAATGCAAGTTCCTTGCTTTTGTACATTCTCTCTCTAATCATTAAAGCCAAGGATCCTATATTATTTTTAATTTTGTGAAACAGCCTTCTGTCCTATCACTTTCAAAGATTTGTGCAAGTGAATGCCCAGGTGTCCCTGTTTCTGCTTCCCCTTTCTGGAAGGTTGTTCTCGTGGTCAAAGGGAAGGGGTTCAGGACATCACAGTGAGCATAATCTACCCACACTCCCTTGTCTCACAAACACTGTCAGGAGGGAGACTGGCTTGTGATAAGGAGCAGAAACACTGGGTAATGCTTCCTTCCCTAATGCAGGCTCATTGGAAGAAGTTGCTACACTGCTCTAGCTCTTAACTAACAGTAGTAAACTTGGAACAGAAAGTGAACTTTTAACCTAAAAGTATCCAGTTTTATATTTTTCATTCCCGCACTGGTTAAAGAATTTGACTGTCAAGGTGAACAATGTTCCATTCCATTTTATTCAATAACATATTAAAATACATTTTTCTGTTGCTGGACTCCAGGTACATGTAAGCCAGCTAACTGTTCTAATATTCCAACCTATTTAATTCAATTCATCACAATCTGATTTGTATAAAAGACTGGATAAGAATTAATACACATGCTCGCACGTGTGCATGCGTGTGTACAAACACACGCACACAAACACACACACACACTTGAGAAGATGTAGGGAAAGCCATTTACACACAGTGGTCAATGGTAGTGGAAATGGGCAGAAGGGGGCACTGGCCTAATTTCAAAGTGCTAATTGAGGAAGTAGCTGCACCCTTGACTGTCTCTGAATCAGGAGGCATCTTTCTCCAGCTTTGAGTCTTACTGTGACCCCAAGATGAGAATATCATTTATCATGCAGGCAAATTACAGGTCTGACTCGGTGTAGCTATTGAGGCCAAAAGGATGAAGTAATGTCAGTGTTCTAGGATAGAAAATTCCCTTTTCATAAGTGCAGCTGAATCCCTCCCAAAAAAAAACTAGTTACTGCAGTACTGATCTTCCTCTTAACTTTTTCATGTATTGTGAGCTGGATAAAATTTAATGGTGTAGAGAGTCAAGTGACCAACTCCATATGACATGTTGCTCACATCGGCATAAAATTTAATAATATTGGTACCCAAGGGCCTCATTGGCCTCCTCTTTAACGGTAGTAGCTGAGCAGCGGCAAAGAGCAGTTGCAAATTGCTCCTTTGGCAAGAACATAAATTGTGAAGCAAGTACATCGTGTTTTTGCTGCAGTGCATGGATTAAAGTTATAAC